TGCAATTTGTCAAATTTCTACGCCACAGGGTTTACAGCACGACAGTCGCGACAAATGAAAGCCCTTGTATTTTCTTTATAGGAGAACGATAACAGGCGCTGCTTTCCCAGTGATTTGCTTTTGTTGTTACCTGTAATGAAGTGAGTAGCAGAATCGCATTTGATTTATTACGCTGTAGTGGTGGTGGTTGGACTATTCTAGAACACGATTCCGAGGTCATTACTTGTGTTTCTTTGTGTTTTCGCCGCACATTAACCCATTATTTTTTACAAATTACAACGAAATTTCTCATGCACAGGTGGAAAATTAAAAGCTTTGTCACCAAATTACGTACTACTCAGAGACTTACCGCTTTGCGCTGTCATCAAAAAACTACGTACCAGATGGATCTGCACACTTGTAATCCGGCTGGCTAGTAATGAGAAATCCGGTTCCTCTCTCGGTCCTGCCTGCATTGTTACGTAGTCGTTTCATATCTTGGAATTATTCGTAATTCTCCGAAGCGAACCCAATGTCAACCGCATATGAAAATTGCGAAAGAGTGGCAAATGCAGTGACCGAGCAGTCTTCAAAGAGAACTTAAGAAGTTCAAGGTTTTGGATAGCCAAGAAATCCTCTGCTTTGATGGAATGGTTCATTGCCCTGCTCCCTCTGTCCTACTCATTCATATGAATGGAGGAAGTGTAGTATACACATTCGATGCACATTGCAAGAATTAATTTGACAGAAAGAAGGTACTTGTTTTTTTCTGTGATGTTTTTCCGGAGTTTGTCCAGTTTGGCACAATCGTGTGACTAATTCCCCAGCCGTGTTTTGTCTGTGGGGGCCAACCCATGGCGGAACACCAAATTGAGGGGATTATGGACGCTGATGAAGAATATGGCCTTCTTTTCGAGGGGTTCGGTCCTACAACCGGGGTCTGCAGTCCAAGTGCGCGCAGCGACCAGCGTGACGAGCGTCCACAGCTCTTGAACCGACAGGCACTGACTGCACTTTCACTGAGCAGTGTGGCTCTTCGTGTTTCATTGCGCAATGCTGAACAAAGACGTGAAAGTTTTCATCGGCCGTTAGGTTGTTACTCTTCCTGGGAATAAAATGAAATGATAATGTGAAGGTCGTGTACGTCTGTCCGCACGTTTGTGTCTGAACCTAATCTATGAATTGGGATTTAGTTTGGTATTCCGGATATATGCCTGTATTAAACGCTGTTGGGCGCATTTAATGATTGTTCTTATGGGACAATTATAAAACCTAACGAAAAAAGCTCTGTGCTTGAAGTAGGGGTTATGTTGGACCGATGTGGACCTGTTGTAGTGTAGACCCTCAGTACCTAACCTAATAGATTATGCAGGTACCGGTAACCAAAACATATGGAACAGTTTTGGAGACTAAACATGCGGACAACAAGAGAACAGTTTATTTCGTTCTTGTATTAAAACAATGATCATATGGTTAAATTATTCCATTTGCATCCCCTCTTTCTTAAAGTCATTTTATAAGGGGAGCGTTTTGTGCCGTCACAAAGGACAACGACTTCTGAAGGTCATATAATTTGACCGAGCAATTGACTCCTGTTAGGAGCGCATTACCTCATTCTTTAATATGGATGTTTCGCCATTGGGTTCTGCCGCTGTTGCTCAGTTGAGGAAGTAAGCGATCGTATGCTCATCGGAGGCGTGTTTTGGTTTATTATTGGAACCGCACGTCTCCTAATTCTTGTAAATCTTACCGGAATCCTGGAAAATTGCAGTTAAACACCTCAGAAGGAAAGAGGCTTGGCTTCGGTTCAGACTTTTGCACTAATGACTGTTCTCAGAAAATTGCTAGAATGTTTATCTGCTTGCATTTACCAGTAATTGTATTAGTGAAATCTGTAACGTGCGATGCGAAAGATGCCAGTCTCAACTGTCACATGGTAAGTATAAAGGCAACTCCAGCTGTCTACTGAACAATTATGTGAATCTGAATTGCAACTGTTTTTCTCTGACCTACATATGTGCGAATAGAAATGTTACAGTGACACATCGGGGGCGTCCTTTGGTCATATTTGCAACTTTGGACATACGAGTTTTGCCAGAACGTTTAATTACTTTTGAGGAAATCCTCACGAGCTGCAGGTAGCGTTAAGTAATTCATAATATCTGGAAATTCCTGAACGTATGTTGCTGTCTCTCGTTGCAAGTGTGTTATAATGGGTGAGCTGAAGTAATAGCTGGTTATTTTCATACGTGCATTCCACATTTCATCATGTCTCCAGTTGATATTGCGTCAGTAAGTAACAACTCTTTGGTTGTATAACCCGAAATTTCAACACCGCTAGTACCAAATCCCGCCATGAGAGAGAATCTCTAGTCAGTCCACATCCTCATATACAGGTGCATCGAATCGGCTGACAGAGTTATGCTCTTGAAACCCAATGAATTATGATGTGTTATCTTCAAATTGTTGATTAATTTTTGTGATAAGTTTGTTCCTTGGCCATCCATATTTTGGTCTAAATTTTCCATCTGTGTGTTTCTTGAAAGTCCTTTAATTTCCAGTTCATAAAGTTTTCAAGTTAGCTTTCTTATATAAAACAACCATTGCTCATAACGTATGTCCTTAAGGTTTAACTTCATATTGATTCTGGAATAACATGTTTTCCAAATGGTTAATTGGCTGTAGCTCGGTGAACTTAATGTTCATTAATTACATATACAAATCTGATGGGCAGATCTAATCACATTACATGTTAGCGACAAATTAGGTTTCCTTAAAATACTAAAAATTCTGAGTTTATAAACATTCAAAAGAAACGTTTATGAAATCTAGGCCTATGTTTTGTCACATATTGTTTTACAATAAGCCTATAGGTCTGTATGAAGTTGTGTTTGAGCTATTTTGTAAGGTACGAGTTGTATTGGGCAGACGACAACGAACGAGGTGCGATCGGAAAGTTTCAAGACTGTGTCAATAGAGGGCGAACCGGATGTAGTACGAGCTTCTGCCGCTAGGGGGTGCGGCCTACATTCATAGTGAATCAGTGTGCCAGCCGGCATCATCGAATTGGCATTTGTTTCTTAGTTACGGGCGTTTTGGTAGTGCATTACACCGACCCTCCTGCGATTTCGGAATGGCGTGTGCATCAAATTTTGCCAAAGACTCGCCAGAACGGCTACGGAAACCTATGAAATGCTAAAGCAAGCATTTGGGGAGTCCGCAATGGGTCGTGCACAAACATTTGTGTGGCATTCACGTTTTAGAAATGGCCGAACCTCTGTCGATGATGACTAGCGTTCTGGACGACCATCTTCGAGCCCAACGCCCGAAAATGTTACGAAGATTCGGCAGGCCATTCACGAAGATCGACGTCGTACCATCAACGACTTGTGCGACATTGTTGGGATAGGCTATGGGACCTGTCAGCTGATTCTAAAGGAAGAACTCCACATGCGACTCATCATGACAACGCGCCAGCGCACACCGCCCTCAAAGTTCGGCAGTTTTTGGCCTCAAACACCATGGCCGTCATCCCGCACCCTCCTTATTCGCCGGATTTAGCTCCGTGTGACTTCTTCATCTTCCCAAAGATGAAAATTCAGCTAAAGGGAAGGAGATTTGAGACGATAGAAGAGATTCAGGCAGAATCGCAGATGGTGCTTGACAGGCTGACAAAGAAAGATTTCCAGGGATGCTTCCAGGCTTGGCAGCGGCGCTGGGATCGTTGTGTTCACTCCCAGGGAACTACTTCGAGGGTGATGGATGAATTTAATACCTGAGATAAGTGTACGGGTTTTTATAGGCGCAGTCTAGAAACTTTCCGATCGTACCTCGTAGGCTCAGAACACGAAATCAAATTGAATTCTGTTGGATGATTTCTTGGTTTAAACGTGGACACACAAATAAGACATTCCATCTGTGCATTAAAGTTAATGTTTTTCGAGCAAAGAACACGTACAAATTAGAACATGGAATTTGTAAGCTCTATAAAGCCTGCTTCTCCTTTTGGCTTTGTCTTCCTGATATACATAAATTAGTTAGTGGTAGGAATCTGTGTTCAGGATATTGAAGACAATAAATAGCGCGTAGGACGGTTACGTGCGTACGAGATTCGTTGCTTAGGATGGCTGCATGGAAGAGTTCTGTTGGTTACATAAACAAGAGCCAGTGTTCTCACAGAGTCGAAACATGTGGCAGAATGTTACACAACGTCTTCCAGTTCTCCAGTGAATAAAGGTATTGTGGTACTGGTTATTTTTTAATCACGAATTTCCTGGCACTTGACAGAGTGAGTTGGGTTCATCCTGTCGGACGGCATTCGCTCTCCACTAAGAGAAAGGTAACTGATATTTGTAAAATTAATTATCAATGATTGTGTGTCATTTATTGATTACATCAATATGTAACATTCAGAATGAGCTCGGAACTTCGTTGGCAGATGTAGACGTTGATTGGAGGATGCTGAATCGCATAATTCGGTTGTGGTGGTGTAAATTGGGTCGAAATATTTGACGTAGCCTGAGGATGTTGCCAGTGGCGGTAATTCATGAACTTGGTGCTGGACCTCTAAGTTTCGTAAAATGGTGAATTTCTAGACTGGGTGAGTGGCTGGTATATCACAATGAATCATGGCGAAAACAGTAGGCAGTTGTAAATAATTACCCCGTTTGATTGCCCATTTTTGTGACAACGTATTTAAAAAAAATTGTTTTATTCAGCTTACTTAAGTCTAGAGTGCTGCAGTACCAGGGCTGCTAGTGCTTTGTTTGTGGTTGTTTCCAGTGGTCTATTTACATTGGCTGTTAGAGGGCTGTGTCAACTGTGGCACCGAATGAGCTACGAAAGCATTATTGTGATGAAGATGGCTGATGCCCGAAACGATATTCGAACGTCTAACCGCTGTTTCAACCTATTCGGTGAAAACTGTGTGCATGGGGAGGAAAGTTGTGGATGTAAAGCCTCTTTCAGGGGGAAAGTCCAACATAATCAGCAATTTTAAATTGTTCTTTTCTTTATTCCAGGACAAGAAGGAAGCCAACCTGCGAGTTGTTGGCGAATTGCGCAAACGGATTGCTGACATTGCAGGGCAAGGTAAGAGAAATAGCACTGGCTGTGATTTGCAGGTTAGTTGTGCCGTTTCCCGATTAAGATATCTTATTAACATCTCCGCTGCAACCACTTTTGTATGAAGTTCATGTTCGTATTTTCCAAGTAAGGAAATTCATTCATTTTTGTTGTCTCATCTGTCTTCTCTTTCGATGTTCATTATTTAAATATTTCTCCTTGGATGCTACTTAACTTCAGGAAATGGCACTAATGCCGTTGAACAGAATGAGTAGACCAATTTAAATACATGGGAGGCTATTGAAATAAATTTGATAGAAACAGGGTCTGTTCAAGATTCAGCTGACTCAGAAAGTGAGTTCAGTGGAGGACTCTTGTTGGCTTCTGTGAAAGGACAAACAATTTTTTGTTCGGATAAGAGACGGCTCTTTAGAAGGTATTTTTTATTGAGTTGCGTTACACAACAAATCGAATTTATCCCGACGGAGGAATATTATCGTGCTGATGGAACAAGAAATACGTATCTGCAGGTGGAGAAACCTCTTTGACAACGGCGCGAGGAGGTCGGAGGGAGGAAGTAGTGAGGATGGGAGGTGAGTGCAGTTGGCCGGTTTTGTTGTGAATGAAGTTGAACCTGTGCTGTTGTGTTTTCAGATAGTCAGTTTCTGACTTTGAGTTGGGCGGGGTATGACAGCGATATAATCCTCAGTTGCAAATCGAACAAGTTGGATCCTCGTGCTTGAGCGATATCCGACTGTTACATGTGATTTCCGGTTCCGGTTTCCGCAACTCTTGCATGTCGTTCGTAGGCAGATGCACTCGTGCTGACCTATTTGACGTACACACATAAGCAGCTCGCGCTTTTACTACACGGCCCGGCCCTTCACACCACGTCGTAAGTTTTTCATAGAATCGGCCCCCAGTGTCTTTAGATCCATCTGCCCCGAGAAATACATCTGTCCGTTATACAGCCAGGTAATTCACGTTAACACCAGTCCCTTGAATAAATTTATGGAGTTCGGAATGGACATTGGGCGTTTGACGAACTGACTTTCAGAGGACCTACTCTTCGCAAGCACTGTTCGTGCCTTCCATTTCATGATTTTATCTGGCTCTCAGCTCTCGCCTGATTCCACATGATGGACTACGAATTTCACTTTCAAGCGTAGTATGACAAGTGACAACCACAGCCTAATTTTATGAGACACAGCAGAGCGGAACAGAACAGAGCGATAAGGACGTGACGGCTGACGCGAAATCAATAACGCGGCGCCTCAAGGTGTAGAAATGTCTGCATATGATTGTTAGCGGCTACTGCTTCAACAACAGCAGCAGCACCCGCGAACGTTTCAAGTCATCACTCGCGAAGTAGCCTTATTCCCTATTTCTTGGGTCTGAAAGGGGTCAGTCCGTACCCCAAAACCGAAGAAATGCTTATCTTTTCTACTGTCATTATGAGACTTTGGGTTTTCGTCATGGGTCACACCAGAAAGCAAATTGTTCATGTGAGGAACGACTTCGATCTCCTGTCACCTGCTTGTAATCTGCCCCTGTGGCTAAGACCAGCCAAACTTGTCGGAGGTAAAACTCCACACGCTTAACCTCAATGCAACATGGAATCATGTGGTCAGCATCACGCTTCGACAGCTTTGCTCCCGGGGAAGATCACGACACCTGTTGGATCGGAGGCTATGTGGGAGGTGCTGAAGAGAAACGTGTCTCAACCGTAGCCACTAACATTAAAATAAGGCAACAAATGTGCCAATAGAATGGAAGTCAAAGACCTGGGGCATTTTATACTTTACACAACACTAGAAAGCCGTTCAGACTAAAGATGCCTTCACCAGAATCTGAGGTAATCAAGGGAGATGTTCCAGTAAGAAGCAGAACTGTGATACATAGTAGTTTTTTGGAAGAAGGAAATACATTAATGTGATGAATGCAGGCCAACCTGATGCGTGGTCTGGCGCAGTTTCTGTGGTACCTCGTAGTCATGCTAATGAAATAACAGCCCGCGTTTCCGGAATTCAGAAAACAAAGAATAGGTTGCATGTCGTAACATTGCATAAATAAATATTCGATCGTTACAGTAATGTTCATGCTACTGCAGCTGCTTGTGACAGTAAGTCATTTTTGTTGTTTCTACTGCTGATATTTACATACCGGAACTTTTAAGAAACATCCTTATTTATTCAGGTTAGTGGGTTTCGATAGGACAGTGCGGAATTGTTCTGTTTATAATGCTGATACTTCGAGCAGGCTAAGATGTATGTGTCATCCCGTTCATAGGTTTCATCCGCTCATGCTCCGTGATAAGCTAATGCCTAATCAAACGGAATGACGAGATAGTCTTACTAAGCTTGTGTTGTTCTGTAGCCTGCTTAGTCTTCTGCAGTTTATGCATTTAGAACGTGTCGTAGCTCGGGCGATTAGTTATAGGCTTCTTACCGCAAAGGCCCGGGATCTCTCCCAGGGTAGTGCATGTGAGTTCTGTTGCGGACAATGTGTCGTTGGGGCAGGTTTTTCCTTGTCGCAATAATTCCATATTCACACCATCTTCTTGGGGATGCGGCCTCAGTTTCACAGAGACAGTCTCACCCCATCGTATACAATAAGTAAATTTGTAACACCATTAAAATAACATTAATGAAGATTTCTGTCTTCTGGGTTGTTGCGCTGTGTAGTCTGGTCGCTGTTAACCAACGTTTCAGAGGTCCTACTGCCTCCGTCATCAGGGCGCTGAGTATGAAGATTTCCGTCTTCTGGGTTGTTGCGCTGTGTAGTCTGGTCGCTGTTAACCAACGTTTCAGAGGTCCTACTGCCTCCGTCATCAGGGCGCTGAGTATGAAGATTTCCGTCTTCTGGGTTGTTGCGCTGTGTAGTCTGGTCGCTGTTAACCAACGTTTCAGAGGTCCTACTGCCTCCGTCATCAGGGCGCTGAGTATGAAGATTTCCGTCTTCTGGGTTGTTGCGCTGTGTAGTCTGGTCGCTGTTAACCAACGTTTCAGAGGTCCTACTGCCTCCGTCATCAGGGCGCTGAGTATGAAGATTTCCGTCTTCTGGGTTGTTGCGCTGTGTAGTCTGGTCGCTGTTAACCAACGTTTCAGAGGTCCTACTGCCTCCGTCATCAGGGCGCTGAGTATGAAGATTTCCGTCTTCTGGGTTGTTGCGCTGTGTAGTCTGGTCGCTGTTAACCAACGTTTCAGAGGTCCTACTGCCTCCGTCATCAGGGCGCTGAGTATGAAGATTTCCGTCTTCTGGGTTGTTGCGCTGTGTAGTCTGGTCGCTGTTAACCAACGTTTCAGAGGTCCTACTGCCTCCGTCATCAGGGCGCTGAGTATGAAGATTTCCGTCTTCTGGGTTGTTGCGCTGTGTAGTCTGGTCGCTGTTAACCAACGTTTCAGAGGTCCTACTGCCTCCGTCATCAGGGCGCTGAGTATGAAGATTTCCGTCTTCTGGGTTGTTGCGCTGTGTAGTCTGGTCGCTGTTAACCAACGTTTCAGAGGTCCTACTGCCTCCGTCATCAGGGCGCTGAGTATGAAGATTTCCGTCTTCTGGGTTGTTGCGCTGTGTAGTCTGGTCGCTGTTAACCAACGTTTCAGAGGTCCTACTGCCTCCGTCATCAGGGCGCTGAGTATGAAGATTTCCGTCTTCTGGGTTGTTGCGCTGTGTAGTCTGGTCGCTGTTAACCAACGTTTCAGAGGTCATACTGCCTCCGTCATCAGTAACTAGAGGGAACAGACATTTAGAAGTGGAGTGCGTTTAGATTACTGGGATTATTATGGCGATAGTTTTATTTCAACTGAATTGTTTATCGAACAGCCGAACGTCGATTTGCTGCTATTGAAACGAATGATCGTCTTTAAAGGAATTGAGTTGTATAGTATGATCGTGTTTCCCCTAATAGTTTTAAAACAGATGGCAGCATCTAAAATAAGACGACGTTGCCGTCATTCACCTTAAGATCCTGAAATATTTTACGTGATGGTAGACCGTCGAAGAATGAGTACATTTTGTCACGATGGTATATTGTACAGTGTACAATAACATTATGGCTGCCGCGCTGTATCTACATTTAGATAACTAATAAATGTCTGAAGCTTCGCGTGTGAATTTATGTATAGGTACAGATCGTAAATGTGCGTACAAGTTTTGTGTGAAGCATTCTTTCAGTATATTAAAAAAACTACACTGTGAAGTTCTGTGTAGAAACTATCAAAGCAAGAATGTCCTTTCATGACCTTTTTCTTTTTTTAGAAAATAATTCCTCAAACATCTGGGATGATAGCGTTCTGAAATATTGTTCGTAATTATGCATTCATTCGGACTATGCGGTGTTTATGCCAGTTTCTGTTGCCTTGTCATACATCTTGCGCTTAAATAGTCTGAAGGCGTTGCAACGACAGGGATTCAACACCAAATGAATATCATACGAGTCGATAGAATTTTGTGTGATCTAACGCATTTTATTCAACTCCGTCCAGCCAGAAACGGATCGTACGCAGTTTCGAGCATTACCGACTCCTGTATCCGCAGGAAACGTTCACATGTGGCACTCGCCGACAGCGACCGCGGTAATGGAGTATGGTAGGGGTTTAAAAACATAGTCAAAGCGTTTCTAGCAAGTTTAATAACAGACAGGGTTGTGACTCCGTGTACACTCGTAGGTAGATATCAGTCTCTGAAGACGGCGGCAATATGTTTCTCCGACATGTTGGTGTCTGCCCTCGAGTCTATTGTCCCAGTGTCCGCCACATATGATGTGTAGTGGTGCGGACAAGGGTCTCTCGCTGGTGAGAGACGTTATCTCCATGAGAGGTACTCGACTTCTCAATTTGATTTATTGGACTGTGGCTGTAATAAGTGATAAGAAGTGCTGGAAACTGAGTTCAAGTGACAGTCTCAGATTTAGTGTTGACTTTTGTGATTGTAGTGTTAATGTGTGAGTCCCTTCCGTGAGTTCATGAAATTCTTGACCTGGTAAAAGACTGTACCAAGGAGTTATTTGCCATGATTTATCCATTTTG